TTTCTTCTCCTCTCCTATCTCCTTCTCTGCTCCTTCCCCTCTTCTCTTCTCCCTCTTTCATTCTTCTTCCCTCCCCCACTCTGATCAATGACTTTTACCTAAGGAAGACTGACGGGCTTTGCATTCCTCCCCCCTCCCTTCTTGCAGTCGCTGAACCCCAACCTGCTGGCTGTGGTGACCGAGAGCACGGACACCCACCCGGAGCGCTCGTTCATTGGAATCTATCTGATCGACGGTGTCACCGGTCGGATCATCCATTCCTCGGTGCAGAAGAAGGCCGAGGGGCCGGTGCACATTGTCCATTCGGAAAACTGGGTGGTGGTAAGTGTTTGCCCCCTCCCAAAGCTGCAGGAGCTTGTAGGGCCAAGTCATGAGAGACAGAGGGAGAGGAAGAAAGAGGAAGAGAGAGGGAGGGAGAGAAGGAGGGAGAGAGAGGAAGAGAAGGAGGGAGAGAGGATGAGAAAGAAAGAGAGAAAGAGAGAGAAAGAAAGAAAAAGGGAAAAAGAGGAGAGAAAGAAAGAAAGAAAGAAAGAAAGAAAGAAAGAAAGAAAGAAAGGGAGAGAGGAAGAGAAAGAAAAAGAAAGAGGGAGAGAAAAAGAGAAAAAAGAGGAAGAGGAAGAGAAAGAAAGAGGGAGAGAGAGAGAGACAGAGAGAGAGAGAGACCTCCATGGACTTGAGGAATGTGGCTTTATTATTAGAGACCCTCCTTCTCTCCGCAGTACCTCTACTGGAACGCCAAGGCCCGTCGGAACGAGTTCACAGTGCTGGAGCTGTACGAGGGCACCACGCAATACAACGCCACGGCCTTCAGCTCCTTGGACCGGCCCTACTCGCCCCAGGTGCTGCAGCAGTCCTACATCTTCCCCTCCGCCATCAGCACCCTGGAAGCTACCATCACCGAACGGGGCGTCACGAGTCGCCATCTGCTGAGTTAAGGAAGGAAACCAGGAGAGAGAGAGAGGGAGGGAGGGAGGGAGGCCGGGTGGTCTGCCTTTCACACACACGTACCCCCACCCAGGAAATCTGAACCCAGGAGGCTGGCTGGCTCGCACTGAGGAGCCTTTTCAGAGGGGAAGGCCGGTGGGTCCACCGCGGAACAGATAAGGCCCTTGAGAGCTGTGGGAAGATCAGATTAGGCAGGTGTGCCGTCCCTTGTGCCAAATTTGGACCGGGCACCACGTTGCCCTCAGCTGGCAACTTCTCCTGAACTGCCACTCGCTGTCCCTTGGTGAATTCGTGCCTCTGCCTTCTCTTGGCCAAGGAACTTTCTCCTGATTGGAGCGTCAGGGTTCCAAGTAATACATCCATAACGAACAGAACTCCAAGGCAGGTAGATTCTCAAAGACTAGTGTCAGGATTCTGGCGATTGCCCTAATTAAATCATGAGCCTCGAGCCGAGCTTCAAAAGAGTCCAAAAGATATATTAGGAGCAACATGTCCGGCATTAGCCTGTATGAAGCCAACTCTGAGACACGTAATTTACTATCACCTATGACCCTGTTTCTCCCCACTCCGCTGGGTGTGTCATAAATCAGATTCTCCAATGAAACACGTTCACGGGCTCGGTGTCATCAATCGCATTCTCCAATGAAGGATTTTCATGGGCAGAAGATCTGGTAGCCTAAGCTACAATCTCCACAAGATAAGCGTGGAATGTGCTTCTGGCCTTCATTGGCCGCACTGCTCCATCAGGCCTTTCCCCCCCCCTCCTTATGGCAACTCGGAAACAGGCATAGGAATGATTTACGAGTTGACAACTAGTTTATTTGGATGTATCCTATTGGCACAATCTGGTGAAAACCGGCTCTGAATGTTCTCACAGTTTTCAGCTAATTAAAATTTTTCTCCCTTCCCCAAATTTATCAGTCACATGGTCCAGATTAACAGTGTTGGAAGGGACCTTTTAGGTCATCTAGTCCAACCTCCCCCCCACCCCGCCGAAGCAGGAGACCAATCAGGGATCCGTGTGGTTGCCTGGTAACTTCACTCCTCCTCTCTCTGGCCACTTGTGGGAATGTCCTTGGTTCCCAGGGGAAAGTATTTTGTTTTGGCTACAAAACCCCAGCTATCTCTATTGCTCCCCCCCCCCCCCCCGAATCCCTCAACTCCAGTGTGGCAACGCTGCAGCCTCAAAATGGCCCTGGTCAGGTCAGCTTCAGGGTTGACACAGGGAACCATTTGCCTGAAATGGGATAGGGCAGGGGTGTTCAAACTTGACAGCTTTTAAGACTTGTGGACTTCCACTCCCAGGATTCCTCATCCTGTCATGTTAGCACAGGAATTCTGGGAGCTGAAGTCCACAAGCCTTAAACTTGCCAAGTTTGAAGACCCTTGGGGTAGGGGTTTGCTGCTTGAGCAGGGGCTGGACTAGAAGACCTCCAGGGTCCCTTCCATTATTCTGTACTTCCTCATTTAAAAAAAAATATGTAAAAGATTAAAATGCAGAATCGAAAAGGAAGAAAAAAACCACAGGCCAAACAAAACTAGACAAGAACATTAAAAATGTGAATTAAAAAAAGAAAAAGATAAAAACACATATTATCCTCCCTGGCAAATCTATTGCGACGATAATAGCTTCCCCGCCTTTTTTCAAAGCTTCTCCGTTTTTCTCTTGGGCACAGTCGGTCTTCCCTCGGGGGCCATTTTGTCCCTTCCGAAGGCTTTGCTGGATCCACGGCGGCCGGAAGTCCCCACAGAGCAAACGAGGTGAGGAATTTGGGGAGGGGGAGATCCATCCAGTGCCGAGCCCGGGGGGGGGGGGCATTTAGGACTTTGCAAATAGGGGAAGCTGATGTTGGGGGGTTTGGGGTTTCTCTCAGCCAGACCTTCCAAGCGGTCTTTAAAATGCTACATGTCCACATCATGCTGCTAACAGCCGGAGTGGCTTGGCTCTAGCCCAGGGGTCTTCAAACTTGGAAAGTTTAAGACTTGTGGACTTCAACTCCCAGAATTCCTCCTCCAGTCATGTTATCTCAGGAATTCTGGGAATTGAAGTCCAGAAGTCTTAAATTTTCCAAGACCTTTGATCTAGCCGAACCATGGAGGGTGGAGTAGCAGAAGGGTTTTGTCTCAGGGGTGGGATTCAAATTTCTTAACAACCGGTCCTGTGGGCATGGCCTAATTTGTGGGCGTGGCTTGGCGGTCATGGGACTGGGTGTCGTGGCTTGCTGACTGGGCGTGGCTTGGTGGTCACGTGACTCGGTGTGCATGGCTTGTATGTAAATATTGTACATATTTATGTAGATATTAATTTTGTTTTATAAAAAAAGAACTTTTACCCAAAATCAGGCAAAGCAGGCAGGCAGATTGGGTTGCTCCCAGAATCGCAGATTCACTCAGAGATCTATCTTTCTGCAATCTGCTACCTGAGTCTGCACTGAAAAATAGAAGCTTCAGTCCTAAGGAAGGTTCAGCTCTGCTTTTAGATTAGCTAGAAAGCAAGAAATCCAAGGATTTCCTGCTTTCTAGCTAATCTAAATCACCGGGCACAGCTGATAGTTGGAACGGCGGATGGTCGGGGCGTGGCGGGAAGGAAAAATAGCAACTTACCTTAGGTGAAGGCACAATGCAGGCAAGTTGGATGGTGCGCACGCCAGGTAAGGAGTGAGTGGGCGGGGCGGGGAGGGGCCAGCCAGTGGCACGATTTGCCGGTTCTCTGAACTGCGCGGAATCGTAACAACTGGTTCTATAGACCAGGTAGAATCCCACCCGTTTTGGCTGGCCTGGGTTGACCTTCCTAGTCAAATCTGGCTAGGGTGTGTAAGGTTACCTAAGAAGCATTACAAATGGCAAAGAGCGGTAGAGAAATAGCAAAAACAGAAATAAGCTAGGACAGAGCATTCCAGGCACAGGCTAAATGGCTGAGGTGGGACCGAGATATTTTCCCGCTCATTTCAGGGAAGAAAACCTGATCCCTTATTCCCCGGATGTGCAAATCCACGCCGAGAGGTTCATCAACTACAATCAAACCATCTCCCGAATGAGGGGCATTTACACAGCCCCATCGGGCCTGGAGTCCACTTGTCTGGTGAGCCTTCATTAGACCAATGTTTCTTCAAGAGGGGTGGACTTCGACTCCCAGAATTCCCCAGCCAGCTTGCTGCCTGGGGAATTCTGGGAGTCGTAGTCCACTCTTCTTAAAAGTTCCGAAGGTTGAGAAATACCATAAATCGTTGTCCTGGCCCAGGGAATTCTGGGAATCGAAGTCCACTCCTCTTAAATTCTGATGGTTGAGAAACACCATAGATCATTGTCTTGGCCCAGGGAATTCTGGGAATCGAAGTCCACTCCTCTTAAAAGTTCTCTTTCATCTCTTACCAATACTTTACATATATTCTATCATTTTTATCAAATACTTTCCTCCAGCTTATTTTGTATATTTTATCAGTACATTGCTTAATCTTTTTCCTTAAAATTTAAGTAACTCTCATATCTTCATCTTCCTCATGCTTTATGTTTTTCTCTGTCAGGTTTGCAATCTCATTGCATATACTTAATTCATCATTCCAAAAATTCAACCTCATTTCAAAACATTTCAAAAGAATTTCCCCTACTATTGCCAATTTGAGGGTGCCACCCCTTTTGCTTACATAACATGTAATTAATCCCCCTTTAAACCCCAATAATTATTTAACTTTTAATTATCACCTAAAAAATTAATAACACTAATCTTCTTACAACTACTACATTACATATATACTTTTCAAGTCGGAGTCCGCAAGTTTCCCCTTCAATTGCATTAAAAATATTTATAATTTTAAAAAGAAAAATAAATCTATTCATCATTAAAAAAACGGATAAACTCTCTTTTATTTCTTCTTCTTCTTCTCCTTCAGGTGGTGGCTTATGGGTTAGACATCTACCAGACCAGAGTCTACCCCTCCAAACAGTTCGACGTCCTCAAAGACGATTATGATTATGTCTTGATCAGCAGCGTGCTGTTCGGGCTGGTCTTCGCCACCATGATCACCAAGAGGCTGGCCCAGGTGAAGCTGCTGAACCGGGCCTGGCGGTAACGGTAGAGAAGCACACAGGCCCACTTTTGACGGCGGAACGGCCGAGCCCTTGCGAGTGGGTTGCAGTCCCATTTGAAAGGGAGGGGGTACTGCCCGCTTTCCACCCACCCCGGAGGAAGAAGGAACCATGGAACTGCCCTGCCGATTGCCCGATTCACTGCGGAAAACGAGAAATTCCAGAAATGGGGAAGGTCCTGTGAAATTATTAAGCCGCTTTCCCCCCCCGTCCTTCGATGCCAGCGCTGCGAATCTGCTTTGCTGCTTGAAACTTTTTTTACGATGAACCTTTTTTTCAACTCCTGAAGCTGTGATAAAACATTGTCATCCTGTTTCTTCCCCCCTGAAATTTTAGCTCAGATTTCAGCCAGATTTCTCTATAGAGCCTGTTTCGGTTCTCTTCCCCCCCCCCACCCCCCAAGGAAGAAAATGGCTGTGGAGAAAGAAAGAAAGAAAAAAACACCACCCCAGTCTTTTGAGAGAATGTGTGAAAATATCAGCTTGGAAAATGCAGGTGATGAATTTGGGAAAATGGATATAAATCAGGCAAAAAAATGAACCTGTTCCATCTTCCATCTCGCAAGGAATTCAAAGGGAGACTTGACTTGTCTTTTCCTTGCACTGAATTTTTAAACTTATTTTTTTAATTGGCTCCTTTTGTTCTCAGATTGTTTTCCCCTCCTTTGTCTTATTATAGTTCCTAATTTATATTGACTTTTGGGGGGGAATCTGTCCAGCTTTGGGTTATGGGAGTACTTGAAGCTCATTGAAAAAAAACAAAAAACAAGTTTTGACTTTCTGAATGAAAACATTTTCCTGAATGTGTTTTTTGTTTTCTCTTTATGGCAAGTGAGTGGCTTGCTAAGAGTTTGTTGGTTTATTTATATTTATTTTGAGGAGGGTTTTGGGTTGCGGTGGGCAGAGTCTAAATCTGGAGTTTGCAGGGTAGAAATTTGCATTTTCTGTCGGGGAAAAATGTGAAGTCAGACCTATTTCCGCCTGTATCCAGTTCAGGCACAGCAGAAATAAAAGAAATCACAGTGAATTTGCTTCTTGGAGGTGTGTTTAACTGCGCCTGCGCAGATGCGCACCCAAGAGAAAGTCGCTGAGTCACCTTTCTGCGCAAGCGCCTTTCCGCGCCGAGCCGGGAAAGGAAACTGATACTGGGTCCCCTGCGTTCCTTTGGCTTCCTTTCCATGCGGGGGCGGAAGAACGGTCGGAAATAGCCGTGGGGCGTTCTAGCCCTCCGTCCCGGAAGTCTCTCTGTCTCGCTTCTGTGAGGCGAGCCTGCGGTTCCCTTTGAAGTCTCAGAAGGCCGCCAATTTTTTCCTCTGGACGTTGAGAGCCTGGATGTCGGTTGATAATAACGATAAAAGCGTCCAATTTATTCTTTAGGGCTGTTGTTCCCCCCCAACTCAGGGAACAGACCGGTGTAGTTTGTGGGGGGGGCGGAGTTTCCACCGGAAGAAGTGGTTGGTCGACGTCATTTCCCCGCGACCCGGAAGCTCTTCCCCCGGCCTCTGGTGTCTTCGCCTCAGCAACTCTAACGCTACTAGAAGCAGAACTGAGGAGAGGCGGCGGCAAGATGGCGGCGTCGGGGGGCGGCGTCGGCGGGCCCGGGTCTTCGGAGCGGGATCCCGGCTGGGAGGTGGCGGTGCGGCCGCTGCTGTCGGCCTCCTACTCGGCCTTCGAGATGCGCGAGCTGCCGCAGCTGCTGGGCTCCGTCATTGAGAGGTGGGAGGGAGGAGGAGGGGGCGGGGCTCCAACCCCCCCCCCCCCCGGGGTGGGGAGGGGGGGGGGAGGGGGGGGGGGGGCCCGGGGGGGGGGGGGGGGTCCTGAAAGGGGGAAGACCCCCCCATTTTGCACTGCCCCCCCCCCAAACTTTCCCCTCTCCGCTTGACAGCTCCTAGTGGGCGGGGCAAAACGAAGCCACTCCCTCCCCTCGCAAAAACCCTCCCTCCGCTGGGTGATGGGAGTTGTAGTCCTTACCCAGCTGGGAGCAGCCTGGCCGAGGGGGTTGAAGGGGAGAACCGCCCTCTGGGGATGATGGGAGTTGTAGTTGGTCCACTTTGGGAGGGGAAGCCTCTTGGGAGAAGTGCCCAAAAGATGTGGGTGATGGGAGTTGTAGTCCTCACCCAGTTAGGAGCAGCCTGGCTGAGGGGAGAGAACCAGCCCTTTGGTGATGATGGGAGTTGTAGTTGGTCCACTTTGGGAGGGGAAGCCTCTTGGGAGAAGTGCCCAAGGGATGTGGGCAATGGGAGTTGTAGTCCTTACCCGGTTAGGAGCAGCCTGGCTGAGGGGAGAGAACCAGCCCTCTGGTGATGATGGGAGTTGGTCCACTTTGAGAGGGGAAGCCTCTTGGGGAAAGTGCCCAAGGATGTGGACGATGGGAGTTGTAGTGGTTACATGGTGGTTGAAAGGGCCCTGCAGCCCTGGAGGGAGCACCTTAAAGGCTGGTGTTGAGGTGGGGGGGGGGGGGCGGGGGGGACCAAAAATTTTTAGGTTGGGAATTTCGGGGGAGGGCCTCTTGCTATTGCCAGGAAGTTGCCTTTGGTTGTCGTTTGTCCGGGTGCACTTAACAAAGACCCCTTTGATATAAAGACATTTGACCTTCCAGACACATCCAGAGGGGCAAAAAGAAATGTGTTTTAAAGCTGTTTTGAAAAGTTGCTCAGAGGGTAGATCCGTTGGAGGCCTGGCTCTGCAGGATCCTCTCCTTTCCTATCCTGTCCCAAAAGGCTTGGATGAAACGTTGTCTCTTTCCGCTCCAACGGATGAAATTGCTTCCATGATGGCTCAGTTCATTGGGGATCTGGGCCCTGTGGTTTTGTTTTCACTTTTTTTTTTGGGGGGGGGGGGCTGCAGCTCCCTATTTTTCTTTTATGACCTGGAAATGTGTTGCTGAGTCTATTATTGAAGTCCTGATTTCAATGGTTGTAAGGACTTGCCTCTCCTCTCCCAGGTATCTTTGTTCTGTGTCCATTCGCTTTTTGGAAGTGTATGCACAGGGTTGTAGCTGCTCATTCTCTTGGAGGGGGCCGTTGCCGTCGGGGCCGTCCTCCTCCAACATAATGAGCAGGGCCAGCTACAGCCCTGTGCATACACTTCCAAAAAGCTAACCGGACCGGACAGTGGTACTCCATATCCCATCCTGATGTACCTGAGACTTTAGTAGGGTTTGAATAGAGAATCATATACAGAGCCTTGTATTTTAAGGGTGGGCTGGAGCTCTTTAGTAGCTATTTTGCACAGTTTCTGTTTTAGATAGCAGCTCCATGTCATGTCTTCTTTGAAGCAACATATCACTAGTTGATTTTGGACTGTACGTTGCTTTCATTGCTGGTATATTTTAAGCTAGATCTTTGTGCTGCTGGAGTCAAGAATTTCCCAGAGCAAGTGACTGTTGTTCAGAGTTGGAGCTATTTAAAAACAATCCCCCAAAATAATATTTTAAAATGCAACCTGGAATTCACGCTGTTGGCGATCCGAATGTAAATTTTTCACCAAATGCTCCCTTCATCCCTTGTCACTTTAGGGTGTTTATCCAAAGTTCCTATTATGCAACAGCCTGCTTTGAAAAACTTCCCCTTTGCAAAGCTGTACAAACTCCTGTCTCTCTGCATTTCTGGGTGGGATTGTCAGTTTTGTTTTCAGTGCATGCGAAGGCTACCAGCAGAAGAAATCATATGAATCTAGTCAAGGTTTGGCAAAAAGGGGGCGGGGGGGAAGCATGTGACTGCAAAGTATTGAAGGCGCCATGCTCCTGTTTGCTCTTCCTTTCTGGGATACAACTCCTAAAGGTTTATTTGCAAAATCTATCCCCGGGCATTTTGTGATCCTTGTCTTAAGTTGTGTGGAATCATTTCAGGGCCTCAAAACGGTGCAAGTCCATGCCTGTTGCAGTCCCTTCACCGTTTCTGTGGAATGACTTAATCGGATTTCAAAAGTTGCGTTGGTTGCTTTTGTTGGCTTACTCCGAGTTCACAGTTCTGTCACGGTGCAGTCCCTCCTAACATTTAAACATGGCTGATGCTGAATCAAACTTCAGGCCCGAGTCAAGCGCTTTGTTCCCGAGTAACTGGTCAGATAAACAGAGGGGAGGCCACTGGAGTTCCTCGGCAGCTGATACTGACAGATAGATCTCTCCGTGCTTACTGTTTGCTGCTGGGTGGAACAAGAAAAGGCTATACCCGATGGGCCAGTGGTCTGACAGCCCGTGACAGTTTCCTCATGTAAAACACATGGTTTCTACAGCAAAATGGCCAATTCGGAATATGGCTCCAGCTGGCTGAGGAATTCTGGGAGTTGAAGTCCACAAGTCTTAAAATTGCCAAGTTTGGAGACCTCTGAACTAGGATAAGCTTTCATGCAGTCTCAGAGTCTCCTTGCAGTCCCTGCTGGCAGATGATCTGTGCGGTTTTAAGAACCAATAGGGCAGCTTTAACTTTGCTATATATCAGTAGCAAAACCCACCCAGAGACCAAAGTTCGCCTCCCTTCCGCCTTCGATGTTCAGAGCTTCCCCACGTTTAACTTTAAGGGCGCCCAGTTTTCTGAGTCTTGTGTTTCTCGTGCTTCTTTCCTCTGCTGCAGCGAGTCGGAAATCCTGCACCACGACAAGCAATATGAGCCTTTCTACTCCTCTTTTGTTGCACTTGCAACGCACTACATCACCACGGTGTGTGGAGTGGGTGAGTGAGCGCATTGGGACATTTTGCACGGGCTACGTTAGTTCGCCTAGCTTTTAATCATAGAATCCCCCTGGAATTCTGTGAGCAAAACTGGTTTAGAAGGCGGTTAGCAGAAGGGTTAGGAGGGACATGGCAGGAGGGAGGGGCATTTATGAACACCCAGAAAGGAGGAAGCAGAAAATGGTTTTTCAGGATAGCAATAGCATTTAGACTTGTATACCACTTCACGGTGCTTTACAGCCCTCTCAAGTGGTTTACAGAGCTAGCATATTCCCCCAACAATCTGGGTCCTCATTTTACTGACCTTGGAAGGATGGAAGGCTGAGGTGAGCCTTGAGCAGGTCAGGTTCGAACTCCTGGCAGTGGGCAGAGTTAGTCTGCAATACTGCATTCTAACCACTGGGAGGGAAGCAAGGAAGGAAGGTAGCAATAGCCCTTAGACTTATATACCATTTCATAGTTGCTTTTACAGCCCTCTCTAAGCGGTTTACAGGTCAGCCTCTTGTCCCCAACAATCTGGGTCCTTGTTTTACCCACCTCAGAAGGCTGAGTCAATCTTGAGTAGGTCAGGATTGAACACCTGGTAGTGGGCAGAGTTAGCCTGCAATACTGCATTCTAACCACTGGGAGGGAAGGAAGGAAAGAAGGAATAGCACTTAGATTAATAGACCGCTTCAGTGCTTTTACAGCCCTCTCTAAGCGGTTTACAGAGTCAGCCTCTTTTCCCCAACAATCTGGGTCCTCGTTTTACTGACCTGGGAAGGACGGAAGGCTGAGTCGACCTTGAGCCTGGTGAGATTTGAACTGCCAAATTGCAGTCAGCCAGCAGCCAGCAGAAGTAGCCCTGCAGTGCCGCACTCTCACCACTGCACAACCATGGCTCATGTATCTATAGTTTAGGGTAACTTTTGGTCCCGTTGCCTCCGATCCTGGCCCAAAAGCCTCTGAATGGACATAGGAATTAATTCTCCACCAGGAATTAAAGGGTGGAGGGGAGAGCAGGCTCCATTTCAAGGGAGGGGGGATTCCTAGATCGGCTTATGCAGTAAGGCAAGGACGCGGCATTTGCTTAAAAACTCCTTTCCCCCCGCCCTCCCTCAAACTTGGTTGGACTGACCGTAATCCCGTTGCCTTTTCAGTACCTCGGAACCAGCTGCAGTCTGTGGCAGCTGCCTGCAAAGTACTGATTGAATTCTCCCTGTTGCGACTTGAAAACCCAGACGAGGCCTGTGCTGTCTCACAGGTGAGAAGAGAGGGAGAGAGCGCCCCCTTCTGCCCCGCTGGGGAATTTCTGCGTCGTTGGCATGGGAGGCTCTTGGTTGAAGCTGGGGTCTTGCTTGAAAGACATACCCTGGAATTGACAGCAGAGGCCATGCTGGATTGGGGGGTGGGGGAGAATCTGGGAATTGGTACCTGCCCAGCTGGGGTCTGCTTAGGTTTGGGAAAGGTGGCCTGAACCTTGCGCCGCTCACCTTTTCTGAAACGCTGCCGTAGAAACACCTGATCCTGCTGATCAAGGGACTGTGCACCGGCTGCAGCCGCCTGGACCGGACGGAGATCATCACTTTCACGGCGATGATGAAGTCGGCCAAGCTGCCCCAGACCGTGAAGACCCTCTCGGACGGTAAGGGCTCCCTCCCCGTGACATCTTCTGCCCCGGGAGATGCCAGCAAGGGCTGCTCCACCCCCACTTCTACCCCAGCCCCCCCGGCCTGACCCTCGGCTCCCGTTCCTCTTTTCCAGTGGAGGATCAGAAAGAGCTGGCTTCTCCGGTCAGGCCTGAACTGCGCCAGAAGGAGGTTCAGATGAACTTCCTCAATCAGCTGACCTCTGTCTTCAATCCCAAGATGGCCCTGTCGCCCGTGACGACGCTGCAGGCTCAGGTGGATGGTGGAAGGAAGAAGGTTGCCCGAGAAGGCTTGGGTTCCCTGGGGAAAAAAGGCTGCCCATCCTCCTTAGCAAGGGGTGACCAGAGGGCCCCAAGGCTCCAGGGAGCCTGTGAACTTCTGATGGCAGGAGATTCATAACTGTTGTGACCCGGCTCCCAAACCCGACAAACCCTCTGTAGTTAAATC